CCCCCCGAAAAAAAAAAAAAAAGAATTATTCTTATAACATTGATCGCAATTACTGAATAATAGTTAAATTCCCCATTATACTTTGTACTTTATGGAAACAATCTTACACAAGTATATATCTCTAAAACATTCACCCAAAAAAAAAAAATAGAAAAAAAAATCATTTGTTTCTACACCTGGCGTTACTTAGGGAGAATAATGCTTTATTTATTCAACATCACTGTGAACTTAAGTGTTTCAAATAATTTTATGCCTTCAAGTGCCAAGACTTTATCATTTTAACCACTTGGATTAGAATCATCTTTGAAAAGCTATTACACATTTGGATGTTCTGTTTGTATCCCTTTCTTAAGGCAGTAGATAGAATATGGTTAAAATTGTTGTGTTGACCTAGGATCAAGATCAATTAGGCTCCTGATCTCATCTTGTCTTCCACTTCCAAAAGATCCTTGTCCACTTTTATCTCCCTTGTACTTCCAAAAGATCCTTGTCCACTTTTATCTCCAGGAACTGTATATTGTAGTAGTTTCCTCTATACTTTAGACTGCTAAAATTTACTGATACTCCAGAAAATAGCTCTTGTTAGTCAATCTCACTGAATTTGAGCAATATCTATTCATAAATACATACATGCCAACATCTCTTTATTTCCAAATGCTTCTGATTGATCTGGCCCATATTTCATAGTTATCTTCACCAAAATCGATAGCAGTAATCTATACATAAGGACTATTTATCTAGCAGTGAATAACTGCACGGCTGAGGGGAGAAGGGGGCCAAATTGTTTCCTCCGTTTTAAACCTGTTTCCTCCTTTACTCTCAGACTGTCAGCTTCCAGCAGTTGACAGTTTCTTGTTTACGGTTTCTGATCTATCATGGGCTAGGAAAGTAGGTAATTTATTCTAAAGAAAGATTAAATATGCTGCATCTGACAGGCTACAGTCTTTCCTATGAGGGAAGAGTGTAAGCTCAACGACATGAACACTTTTAAAGCTTTGCAGGTGTGTGTGTGTTTCTTGCCCCTCTGCAATAACCCAGAATACTCTAGTTGCTAAATGTTTCCTCAGGATAGTGAGCCATTACTAATGGGGCCAGTGTCCACAATCAGAGATGAGTAGATTCCAGTGATTCATTTGTACCGTTAGAGAATTTGTTCTTCTTTTGATTCTTCTTCTGGGCAGACAAGCGTTTGATACCAGTGCCTCTTTCTTCTTCTTTATACTTGTTAGAAGGCATGTGTACCCACCAGAGACAGAGAGAGAATGAAAGTGAGAAAGCAACCCTCAGGAAGGTTGGCCATGCCACAATCTCTTCTCATCCATTCTCCTCTCAAGATTTTGGGCACACATGCACATGTAGCCAGTGAGTCCTTCAAGCTGAGGAGCCCAGTATTCAAACTACACTCCTGGCCATGTGGGATCCAGCTGTCTTAACCACAGTTCTACTAGCTGGCTCAGATACCAGTGCTTCATTATTCTTAAAAATTTCTCAGCTGAGGGACAGATGGTGGTGTGGTGATCAAGGCAGCTGGATCCTACATAGTCAACTATGTAGTTCAAGTGCTGGATCCAGTAGCTTGAAAGACAAGCCAGGCACCTGTGTGTGCATGTTCAAAACCCCTAAAGGAGAAAGAAATGGAGAAAGGATTGCAGTGTGACCGTCTCTCATGGGGAATGCTTTCACATTTTCTCTCTCTCCAGTGAGCATGTGCATCCTCTGGCAAATAACTTACATACATATGTACATACACGCCTATATAAACATTTTCAAATCAAATTCTGGTTCTTGGGAAATTGTATAAAAGGACTCCTAACAAACTGATAGCAAAAGCAAGCATTGTAATTACTACTCCATGCTAGATTTTTTAAGTTGTCTATTCACATTATTTAATTCAACTTACTTTCAAACCAAGAAAAAGTTTTAAGTGGACATTTTAGTCTCTAAGCCAATCATCAGCGGACTACAGCCAACAAGCCAAAGGCTGGCCATTTTTTCAAATACAGTTTTATCAAAACTCAGCTTATTAATTTAAATGTTATCTATAATTGCTTTCATGCTACAATGGTAGAGATGAGTGATTGAGACAGGGACTGTATGGCCCACAAAGCATAAAATACTTAGAAAAAAAGTTAGCTAACCCCAGTCAAGGCTAACTAGTCACCTTCCCTTAAGTATTTACTTCCCCAACCAGGCAAATTTCAATGATATCATTCTTTTCTAAATAGAAACATGCAAATGGTGAAAAAGAAGCAGACAGACTACTAGGCAAATGTTTAATAGATTCTTAGCTACTCTAATGTTACTGGTAAATTTTTACTGACTGATTTTGTCCCATGTCATAAGTTATAGTTATCAATGGACTTTACATTGTACTTCACAAAAATTCCAATCATGTCATCCATTAACTGCAACAGAAGTGCATAGGAGAATGCATGTCATAATTTTGAGACATAAAATCAGATAAGAGATTTTTAAAAACCTCCTTCAAGAATTATTGTGCTACAAAACGCAAAGCATAATTAATGTGGTGTGAGATCCACAGACTGGAAAAATTACAAACACTGAAAAATGGCTAGTAATTAATAGACTGTCATGTTATTAAGGCAACCTAAAGTTTATACTTTTAAGAAAATAAACATACAAGTTAATTGGAACTTTTTATATTTTATCTGTGTTATAGCAATACAATATTAAGAAGAGGAAATACAACATAATTCCTTCCTAAGTTTCGTAATTTAGTCATATTTTCTGATGCATATCGATGGCTAGCTGGCTGAACATAGTTATAGTGCTTAAAAGGATATGATTTGACCACATTAGTCCAAATCCATGAAGTAACTGTTTAATATCATATGAGTTCAAACATATTTATATAGGAGAGGTCTTCAAAAAGTTTATTGAAAATACATACTATGAAAAAGCTATGCATATACCACTTCAAATCATTTGACACCAAAATAAACTTTACTGTTACATGAGTTCCAACATATTTATAAAGGAGTGTATGGAAACTATGCATTATGAAAAAAAACTATGCATGCATCTCAAATCTTTTGGCACCAAAATAAATTTTTATTCCATTTTTCCATAAACTATTTGAAGTCACCTCATATGTAACACATATGTTTAACAAGTCCATTAAGTGGCATTTTATTATAACCAACTTTTTGTTTCCCAATGTCTTTTTTTTTTTTTTTGGAGAGATTTTTGCTATAGGATACAAATGCTTACTGGAGAGACAGAAAGCAAGAAATCACCCCCCAGGGTGGGTGGCCATACCGCAATCCTTTCTCCCCCATTATCTTTCTGGGATCTTGGTCATGCTTGCATATGCACCCTGCATGACTTTCAAGTCACTGAGTCCAGGACTTAAACACGATTGGTCATGTGGGAGTCCAGCTCCTTAACCACCACGCTATCTGCTGACCCCCTTCATTGTCTTTTTAAACTATTCAGTGAATGAAGCTTTGCTTTCTATCTTGGGTGAAAACTCAGAACTCTTATGAGATTTCTAGTCATTTTATGGTAACAGATACTGCCACAGTCACTTAAGAATAGAGTACAATCTCTTTTCAAAAATTAACAGTCTCAGCTCAACCTGATGGGGCTACTGGTATTAAACTAGACTCCAGTGCTGAGTTACATGGCTGGCCACAGTTTTGGAATCCCGGATCTGCCTGAAAACACACCAGGCATATGTGTACATGCCCAAAATCTTGACAAGCTGCAGAAAGAGGACTCTGTGACAAGACCCTGTCATAGGTGCCTCTCTCCTTCTCTCTTGTAAAATGCTGTCATGAATAAAAATAAATAATTTTAAAAATTAAGTTTCCAGTTCAATACTTTAATTAACATTTCAATCTCTATTCAACCAATATTACCATGTCCTCCTGTAGTCTTAACTAAAGGCAGGTACTATTTTGTATATCTTATCTAGAAAACAACCTGAAAAGCTACAATAACAAATCAAGATGGGGCCACCAGGTGGCGTAGTAATTAAGAGCCCTGGACTCCCACATGGCTGACT